AAGCACTACCCTCGACGTCGGTCGCCGGTCGCCGGGAACTAAGGCGAGTCCAGACGGCGCAGTCCATACGACGAGGCGACGGGCTTAGGTATGTAGTCAGGTGGCAGGTGCTGGACTCTGCAGCCTCGTTGCTTTTGCTTCGGTCGCCGCCGCTAGCTCATGGTCCGGTGACGTCGATGCTTGCGATAGCGTTCTCGGGCGGTGATTGGGGACCTCGTCGAGCTGGACCGCCGGCGCGGGGCGGAGGGTCGCGGCCAGCGCCTGGCGCCACCGCGCGCCGCAGACCGGGCAGGTTCCAGTGGAGCCGGCGACTGCGTAGCAGCCGAAGTGGAACACGTGGGAGCACTCCGCCACGAAGGTGGCCTCGTCGCAGCTTGCGGTACCGGCGTCGCCGCCGCATACGCCACAGCGGTGGTCGCCCGTGCTCGCCATGAAACCTGTCGTGTGCTTGATGCCGTTGTCGCCGCGATGCCTTATTGTTGGTGCCGGCGGCGTGAACTTATAGAATTGGACACGGAAGAAATTTGGTAGTATGACACTGCTGCTTACCGGAAGGTACAATCTTTGGATGGTATTAATTTTGTTCTACTATAGAACTTCTCGCGGATTAATTGGCAGGATGAACTTTTTATTGATATTTGTGCAGGTTTTGAGGTACATGACTTGAGATAGTATTAATAACTTCATAATTTTTCTATATTGGAATAGATTTTTTCTATTTAACTGTTGGTAGATTTTTTTTCTAATTCTGTCGAACTTCAGTGTGTTGGATTGTGCTTTAAGATTTATACATGTTGCTTTAATAAGCCAGGCTATTTTAGGAGCTTATTTGTCAAAAATACGAGCTGTGCTGCTGGCTGCTGGGTCAGGTGGCTCAGTGCCGGTCCTGAGTTTTTCAGAACTAATAGTGAGCCGAAATGGGCCCTTTAAAATAAACTTATAACAAAATAATACCTAAGATATACGAAATATTACCACACCCAACAGGTGTCTAAAAGAAATATTCATATAAAATAATTTTATATATTAAGTTATCTCAAAAATTCCTTCTAACGTTCCTCGATGCAAAGTCACCGGTGATTGCATCAATATCACTTCTGTCGGGTTCATAAACCCGGGGTCCCCAATGGACTCGCTTCCCTGCAAAACCCGGCCCAGCAGGCGGCGCAGCGACAGCACGCGTCTAGGCCGGCCCAGATAGATAATGACAGCCCGAGACAACGATCCGGTCCCCGACCGAAAGGCCTGGCTAAGGTGGGACCGCAATCCGACTCCGACCCTCTTCTCCGACCGAGTATATGTCGGACCTTTGCTCGTTGCTCTTTCCCGACCGACACGGTCGGGACCGACTGGGAATGACTGACCGGGGCGTCCCGCTCGGTGTGGGTCCGAGGAGCAGGCGGAACAGATAAAGTGAGGCGCTCAAGTCAACCGCAATACCGATGACGGTACCCTGCCATGCCCTGCGCACCAGCAGGACGGTGCCATCGGGGCATGTCAGACGAACACGGTAGAGTCTACCAGACGCGTCAGAGTATAAACAGTATTGTGGGCGCCGTCGTTTGCCGTATCAGGTGAACATGGTAGAGCCTACCAGATGTGTCCGAACATAAACAGTATTGTGGGCGCCGACGACCATCCCGTACTCGATGGTGTGGACAACAAGACTAGGCAGCACACATATAGACTCTCTCTCTCTTTTCCTGACTTGTAAGCCCATGCCTTTCGACTATAAAAGGGGATGAGCTCTTTCCTAAAAGCACCTCGAAGACTGATCAACTCGACAGCTCAATAGCTCTAGGACTCGACAGCTACACAGTCTACACGCTCTCAACAACTGATAAGTTCGGACACACAGAGCATATGTTCTAATACTTAGCGCACGTTTGAGCATCCGTTATTTTCTTTCACTCGGTTCAGAGTCCGACCGGGCCTCTAGCACCCCTTTCTCATTACTTACTTGTTTGTAACTCCACAGTAAACTTCGAGCACATGGGCTTAGGAATAAAGTCACCGACCGACCTCAACCGGACGTAGGGCCTGTTGCCTGAACCAGTATAAATCCTGTGTCATTGAGTGTTAGGCCATATCCGATCATAACGTACGAAAACTACAAATATTTACTTGTTGATCACTTTTCGCACCGACAAATTCCATCCAATAATTTCTTCTCGATGCATAATATTGTCAAACCATTTAGTTTTCTTGAGACATTGTAGACGAAGTGGATTAATTTTCTTCTCGATGCAAAGATATTTGATTTTCGATTTACAAAATTGAAAGTGAGGGAAGAGTAGGCGAAGTACCGACGATCAGCAACAGACCAACAGCCGGCGTTCATGCACCGGTGCGTGCCGATCTGCAGGATACAGCAAGCTTGTTGCGCAACCGTCCGGCCAGCCGTCACAACTCGCAACGTCAACGCAGCGACGCCGTTGGCAGTAGGGGCCCTCCGGTCGGCGGCCAGGAAGGAACGATCGTTGACTCGTTGTGGGTAGCCGGGAGTCGAAAGTCCAAATGATGAAACAATCTGTGTGACAGTGGGATCAACGTGACGTGACGTGATTAATTAGCGTGTGGTGACAGAGGACTCGCGGCTTCGTTAGCCCATGCATTGGCCGATCGATCTGTTGGTATTTAGCTTTTTGGCCACGTTCGTTTTGTCTTATAATCCATATTTTTTCAGCTGGTTTTTTCATTTGGAACAATGTTTTTCTTTCACATTAAATCAGCCGGAACAATGTTTCAGCTTGTTTTTTCAGCCAAGCAAACGGGGCATTTGTCTTGGACCAATTATTAGTACTAAACTTTGTATTAGAGGTCTAATACCTGTGAGGCCCAGTGGCTCGTGGGGCCTGGAGCGGCTGGACCACTTGCCTCCGCTATCTAATTTTTTTTTAATTTAGCCTTTTTTTTAAAAAAAAATTATGTTTTGCCTTCTGGGAGAAGTAAACTCATCTTGGGACCTTGGAGGTCAGCGCTAGGACTCATGACGTCGAGGTAACACGTTTTGGGGCCACAGATCTTGACTCCGAGATGCCTGGCCGAGATCCTAGTTGACATTGACATGGCCGGTACCTCGGCGCCAGCGCCAAGATCTGTGGCGCCGACCTCGGCACCACGGACTCTGGCGCCGAGCATGGACGTCTGCGGTGCAGAGGCTGCGTGCCAGCCAGTGCCCTAAGCTGCGCCTCTGGGCTTTGTCTCAGGAATCGTGGAAGAGAGAGAAAAGGAAGAGGAGAGGGCGCCTGCACGTGAGGATGAGGAAAGGTGCGGTCGATTTCTTCTTTTTTCCCGGTGCAGGGCTGTGCGGTTGTGGAGGATGCGGGCATGCGGCTGCTGCTGGTGGCCTCCTGCCGAAACGAGTAGAGAATAGTGAAAGCGTGTTGGGATGAATTTTTCTTTTTTTTTTATTTAACGATGAGAAGTCTCGTGCGTGAGCTGGCAGCAGTCTAGATGGTGCAGTTGGTGTGGGTCCCCCACCCTAGGCCTGGTACTGTTGGTGTGCATATTCTTCCCCTGCCACGTGCAAGCCTGTAACCAGATAACAGGTGTACTGGCCCCGCATTCCATTTGGCTTCCATCTTCCTCCCACGTGCATTGCCTTTTTGTAACCAGATAACAGGTTTGTTGTACTTTAACCCCTTTATCATTATGGACTTCCATCTTGATTTACAACTTAATTATTTTTTTTACATACATTTAATGCTTCTTCCTAGACAAGGCCCCGGTACAGGAAAAAATCGTACGCCGCGGCTGGGCTGGACCCGACCATAAAAGCCGCGGCCGCGTCACCAAATGAAGACACGCACGCGCCACTGCTCCCCGTCCCCAGTCTCCAAGCATCCCACAAGTGCGGTCCTGCCTCGACCTCGAAAAGTCGAAACCAAGCTCTTCCCAGAGCTCGCCCCGAACAGCATGGCGCAGGGGAAGATGCCCGAGGCTGGCACCGGCGCGCCTCGGGAGGCGATGCCGAGCGCGTACGGCGGGATCGAAGCGGACCGCCTGGTGGTGCTAGCCAAGCCGCTGCCCACTGGTGCAGGCTACTGCGCGCCCTTTGCCGTGGTTCGGTTCCAGGACCTGCCGGAGGAACTCCGTCGGCAGATCGCCGACGCTCACGGTGCCGCCGCACCGGTGGCGGCGCCCCTGCGTGGCGAAGGAGTCGACGCGCGGTACCACGCCGCGCTCCCCGTCGACGTCGTCGTGCCGGACGAGGGACTCCGCCGCCAGCTGCCCGGATTGTTTTCCGGGCCCGACGACTCGCCGGCCGTCAAATTCGCCGGCGACGGAAACAGCGACGCCGTCAACGAGTACTCCGAGCGCCGCATCCTGCGGGTACAAGCTCTACCTGCCGGTCCGAACAGAGCAACGTGCTGTGTGCGTGATGCTTGTCTTTTCTTTCGTAGCTCATGGAGGAGGACGGCAAGGTGGTGGTGTACCTGGATGCGTCAGCGCTCCAGGTGCTCGGCGACATGGAGGGAAGCCTGTTCCAGAAGGAGAAAGGGTTCTCGCACGCTTGGATGGGCCACTCTGGCGACGAGGTCTGCCCCCAGCGCGCCGCCCACGGCTATATGGGCGCGTTCTACGACAACGGCCTCCCCGCGCGCGAGGACGCCGCGCCCGTCGTCGTCGCGCTCCTCCTCGACAACAACCACATCGCAGGAACGCCTGCGCTCGAGCTCGACAGCTGCTCCGACGGCGTCGCCTCCCCACGTGAGGACGCGGTGCCTTTCGTCCAGACGCTCGTCGGCAACGACCGCGCCACCGAGCAGGACGTCTACGGCGTGCTCCTGCCGCCTGACAACGTCGTCGTGCCCGCCGTGGAGGCGTTACGCGCCTCGCGTCCCCCTGCTTACGCCGTGCAGGTGAGCTGGGCCTGTGCACGTGCAATTTCTCGAGACGCCACGCGTCCGTGTTCGATTGTCGCTGCCTCTGTTTTGAGTGGAGCAGAAGCAGAGCTCACTCCTGACCACTCATCTGACATGTGAACGTACGCGCAGGTCTCGGTCGACGGCGACGCGGCCGTGGGTGGCAAAGCCGGGGATCCGATTGCGGGCGGCGTCAAGGCAGCCGGTGCGGGCGCCGGAAACGAGCGTGGCGGCAACCTCTCAGCTGTGTTGGGCATCGTCGTCGCCTCCTCAGCCGCCACTGCACTCGCCGCCGGCACCCTCGGCCCAGCGGCGGCGTTCGGGCTGTTCGCGGCCCTGGTCGGCGGTCTTTCCCTGGCTATGGCCAGCGTCCGCGACCGGTAGGATGCACCGGGAGGGATGGATGGATGCCTGGCCACTGTTGGATTGTTCATCTTTCGCAGTCAAACTAGTATGGAATAACAACGGCTATAATCAGATATACGTTTTGTTTTGTAGTTGGGTTTTTTTTTGCGTCTCTGTTTCAGCATTTCGCTCTGTTTTGTGCCGTGGTATTTTTTAGGCCTGGTTTTTGCATTGTCTAGGATGTGTCTCGGGAATGCGCAGGAATGCTGAAACAGAGCCTTGCAGGGCTGACCGCGGCTACTCCATCCCACTGCGCGTCGTCCCGTGCCGTTCGTGTGCGGCATCATCGTCGTTAGTCTGCGCTTTGCAAGCAACTCGATGCTTGACTCCGTTCGCCGCGCCGCCCTGGCAGCACCCGTGGCCGGTGGTCTCCTATGTACGGCACGGCGAAGTAACGAACGAAGGCCTCGGCAACTTTGATGATTGCATCTCCCTTGGTCTAAGTTGGCCCAACTCCTCCTCCTCCATTCCCTGTCCTCGCCCCAACAAGTAGTAGCCGAACCTCCCCACCGCCCATGAGCCAAGCCCACGATCCATTTACAGAACTCGCTTTTCCATTTTCGAATTAAACGAACAACCAAGTGAAACCAACCATTCCAAAATCCATATCTCATCCATTAAAATTTTGAATGACACTATCCTTCGCCTTAAGTTTAGCTAAAATTCAAAAAATACTGGATACATATTTAAATGTTTTCATCCGTATTTATTGAATGACTTCGCATTTGAATTGCATGTGTTGTAAAAAATGACATTTAAATTACCAAAAATATATACCATAAATTAATAATACACTTAAATTGCATGAAAATTTTAAAGGTAAAAAATTGAAAAGATTGTATATCTTACACCTATTTTCCTTATTCAACTTACATTTTTGAAATCTAATAAAAAATAATCTTTCTCAAAAATATTTAAAAAATGGCCTTTAAATTACAAAAAATATATGCCATATATGAAATAAATAATACAGTTAAATTTAACGAAACTTTTAGAAGGAAAAACTAAAAAGATTGTATATCTTAATTACACATAGTTTTCTTAGTCAACTTATATTTTTCAAAAGTCTAATAATAAACAAAATTTCTCCAAAAAAATATCAAATCTAACTAGCTTCCCTAAAAAAGTTTTCATCTAGTAAATAGAATTCTTGTAACGATCATTTTATTTGGTCTTCATTTTAGAGAACAAGTTTTTTTCCTAGTCAACTCTCTCACCTCTAGCAGGATTCGATCTGATTAATACTTAAATTTATTATTTTTGCACGAAGTATTGTACTCTTAATTCCTTCTATCCTACAACATTTTTAGCAACAAAATCATAAAATTAAATACTTTTAAATGTCAATGCATTGACCTGCTGTGTGGGCGGGTGGGTCGTAAGGGCTCATCCCCTTTTTCTTCTTAATATAATGATACATAGCTCTCCTTCGTGTTCGAGGGGGAAAAAAGACAGAGAGGCGGTAATTATAGCACAATTACATTAGATGTGAGATCAAACTGAGGTCCAAACAAATGTAATGTTGGAAAGATACACAACTCCCATGCGTATTCTAAAAATTAGTAAAAGCATGAATAATTTGCCACCAAAATACTGTTCTTGACACCTTTGTCAAACGCCAAACTATTGGCAAGCTATACTGCCTAAAAGTTACCATCTCAGCCATATAAGTGTTGACACTGTATATTGCTAATAGAATTTACATAATATGTTTGTTTTAATTTACCCTTCCTTTATTTTAATTTAATATGAGGTATACCATAGGAATTTTGTTTTATATTCTGAGTTGCAGGTTGTACAAAGATTCCAGGCATTGTCCATGCAAACTCTTCGAGAAAATTCCAGGTACACACATTCTAGTTCTACCGTCTATGGACTATGTGATCTTCGAAGGATCTGAAGCACTCTGTGTTTCATATATCAAAATTTTGGATTCACCAAAAGCAGTTTTTGTTTCTACAATTATTATATTTTTAATATGAAAAAAAACCATCTGCTATATCGAAGGAAAGTAGATGGATGTTGGAAAACTGCCTGCCTTAATATGGTCTCTTGGATGTGTACCTTTGTTGACAAGCAGGGGCAGAGAGAAGAGGGGTCATATAGCCGACGCACACGCACAGACGCACCGAACCGATGCCGTGGCGGCTGGGATCGATGTGGGACAGTGGGGGAGTTAGGGTTTGTAACTTTGAATGGTGGGCTGGCTAATTGGGCTGGGAGCGGGCTGCGGCCTGTGGGGCTTCCGGCTGCTGCTGCCTGCAGCCTGCTGGCCCAGCCATCTATGATAACAGGACTGGCTCGTTTGGCTTGCGAGCTAGCTCGAGCTGGCTCGTTAAGACTTGAGCCGAGCCACTAACAAGCCGAGTTGAGCGAGCTACCAAGTTGTGAGCTATTCGTCCAGCCCTACATATAGGGGCCTAGTATCCCTATGGGATTACGATATGTGTAGCAGTGCTTCTAGAGTAGCTCCCTGGTTGATTCTAAGAGGAACTCTGCCAGATTCTGTGAAGTATAATTCTCTAAAATGAGCTGAAGTTCTAGGGGCTGAAAAATAGCTTCTCTCCATTAACTTCTCACACAGGATTATTTTCTCTACGGAATTTACCCAAAAGAATCATTTTCATCCATGGAATGTTTTGCCCTAGAAAAACTTTCAGTATAGAATTAGAAGCAAGATTAGCTCCACCAAACAGGTCCTTCTCACAGTGTATTAGCATTCTGACTAAGTTTAACAGTTGTTTGCACATTTCCAAGTGGCAATTTAACAAAGAAGCAACATCAACCAAGATTTCCCAATTATACATCATTGGCTATTTAGAATTGAAACTCAACCGCTGTAACTTATTTTGTAATGGTAATGGGTTCTTTACTGGTCCAGTATGACGTTGCTTTTAAAAATACACAAATAAATAACCAATGTGTGAAAAAATAGAGCTAGGATGACTAAACTTGTTTTTGAACGATCTAGCACTAAGGGTGCCGATACCAAAACTTAGCTATAGGCCCAATCAGAATACCAAATAACACTTATCGCAGCATTTAAGTTTTTTTCCCCCAAAAACTGGTTAACCTCATCCATTTGTCCCATTTACTTCAGGAAACTTTGCTTTATTCTGGAAGCAAGTTTCTTTTTATATTTTTCTGATCTCTTGCAAAAATATGTTGTTAACTCAGAATTGATGATATATACATGGAACTTAATGTCCTGGAGTGTATACTTGAGGGAAGCAAGAAGCCGAGTCATCTATCATATCGACTTCTACAGTTCATCACTGAAAAATTTTCTAGTGAGCGCAAGGTTGATACTAATCTATGCACAGAAATGTACAAGGTAATTTTGTTTTGCATAGCAAAGCTGAACTTTATGTAAGGCTCAAGCCCATGCTAACAAAGCACCTAGTGAAATTAAACAGGGCATCCTGCGGAGCGTTGCTGTGCAGAGGCTTTTCACTGGGGATACTGATGACAGCAAGTTTCATCAGGAGGTTAATAAAATGAGGGTAAAGTACACTTTCCAACCTCCAACTTGCATTGAAGTTCGATTTTCAACCTTCAACTATGAAACCGGTAACAAACACCCTCCAACTATCAAAACCGGACAAATTTGGTCCTTGGATGGTTTCAAAAGCGGTTTTCCATTTTCGGGAGGCGCCGAAATTTTATATTATTTTTTTGAGCCTCTTAACGTCCTTAAATAAAAAAACTCAAAACTACAAAGTTGTAGATCTCATTGAGAGCTACAACTTTGGTATAAAAAGTATCTTCATTTGACTCCATACAAAAAATATATTATTTTTCTAATGCGGCAAGCGCTATTATGATGCTGAAATTTTATATTATTTTTTGAGCAACTTAACGTCCTCAAATTAAAAAACTTAAAATTAGAAAGTTGTAGATATCATCAAGATCTACAATTTTTATATAAAATCATCTTCATCCGACATCGTATCAGTTCATTTTTATATAAAACAAGCTTTTTCATTTTTGAAAGTTGTTTTGTCGCGTGAGAAGATGATTTTTATATAAAAATGAACTAATACGATGTTGGATGAAGATGATTTTTATATAAAAATTTTATATCTCGATGATATCTACAACTTTCTAGTTTTAAGTTTTTTAATTTGAGGACATTAAGTTGCTCAAAAATAATATAAAATTTCAGCATCATAATAGCTCTTGCCGCATTAGAAAAATAATATATTTTGATATGGGGTCAAATGAAGATAATTTTATATCAAAGTTGTAGCTCTCAATGAGATCTACAACTTTGTAGTTTTGAGTTTTTTCATTTGAGGACGTTAAGAGGTTAATATAAAATTTTGATGAAAATATGGCTTTTGAAACCAGCCGAGGACCAAATTTGTCCGGTTTTGATAGATGTTTGTTACCCGGTTTTCATAGTTGTTCTTCATATAAGAAGAAAGGCAGTTTGAAAAAATGGAGGGCTCAACAACTATTGTAAGATTTTTAGCTGACAAATGCGAAAGACTGCTCTGTTTCGAATATTTAAGCAAAGGAAGGCTTGGCAACTATCTTTCTGGTATGATAAGATAAACTTTTTTTTTTCTCGGACATGTAGGAGAGATGCATATCATTCATTAAGAAGGGAGAAATAATCAAGTGAAAGGAATCCCTGCTAATACCACTCACAACAAAGCAAACCCACAAAATTCGATCTCTACATCCACAAACACAATAGGCCACCCAACTGAGACCACCAGAGCCTACAGGAACAAACTTGGTGCTGCATACATAACAAAACACAACCACAAGATAGCGACAGAGCTTGCTTGTTGTGACAGGGTTTCTTGTAGTAAAACTATCACAAATACCTCACTAAAAAGATGGACTAGTTATCCTTGGTGTTAACTGAAATTAATGGTCATTGATATAAGTCTTTCCTGATTATTGATATTGACTGTCATTTTATTTTCTAGAACTTGGTCCAGTATACTGCCTACTCTTTGATTGAGACA